GGGGGGGTGGGATGGTCAGTGGTTGAATGCAGTAATACTCAGGAATAACATTTATAAGCAGCTCTTTAAGACATACTTTTTGTAAGTGAATAACCATTAGTAAGTAGGCTAACAATGCAACAAGTGACAACAACTAACACCTTGTTGACAACTAACCTAAACACATTATGCAGCGTTTTAGTAGGAACATGTGCATGTAGATGCATGACAATCTTTTTAAGATATTACACAATGTAAGGTTGCATTTTGATTTTGCAGAAATGTTATTTATGTCAATGAAGGATCACTATTGCATCATGCAGAGAGATCAAAGGCAGCAGCAGTACTTTCTAAGATAAAAAAAGCTCCTTTCTTACCTCATCGCCCCATTTCAACACATCTTTCTGTCGCTCCTTCAACTTGTTGTAGATGTTGAGAAACTGAATAATACCGTGCTTTCTGATGTAGTCGGCATACTTCTTGGTTTCCTCCCAGTTCGTTGGAGAGCCCTGTGACAGCAGACCCATCGCACAGACAGACTAGAGGTGCTGCTGCTGCTGTTGTCTTAAATGAACTTGCACGCTGAGCGTTAGCTAGCTAGCTAGTGTGTCCACCTGGGGCGGAGCTAGCATGAAGTGTCTGTCCAAACAAACGACAGAGCCCGGGTCCTTGCGGTGCTGTCCGAGGGTTCACAGGCGGAAAACAGGTGTTTTTAAGTTAAGCGTTAAGCGTGCCCTGTCGGTAACCTTAGCGGGGCATCCAGAAGAAACAGGCCCTTGCTCATCACTTGCTAATGTCTGCACAGCCCGGTAAAGCACAACCCGAGAAGCTGGTGTGGCCTGCTAGCCTCGACTCGGTTACCAACCACGTTACGGGTCCGTTCAAGTGTTGTTATGTGATGTGCTGACAGCAGAGTGAACCCGGAGGTCAGATCGTTTTTGCCAAACAGTCTTCTGCACCTCAGTCTCGCTGTGTTGTGCATATGTACGCCCTCCTGGTTTTACGCACGTGATGGCGTCAGGCGGGGCGGGAGACGTCACGGTGACTCAGCATTCCTCGACCCATAGGCTCCTCCCACACCTGTCAATCATATCAGGTAGTGGTGCTGCGTCCATGTAGTGCTGGAAATATTGTGTCATTGATAGCATTGGTACATTACATGATAAGGATTAACTTTTCTGTGATATACAAAGTAATCCTAGTTGTTTATACTCATATTTCTCCCAAATAATGGATCCTGCTTCTTTCTTTCTTTCTCTTTCTGTTGGCGAGCTTATTTCTTTTCACTGGCTTTTGCTGAAAGATGAAAGTTACTTTTTATTTATCCCTTGTCTTATCATTTCGACAACCCTGTTTAAAACATCAAGAGTCAAGTTTATAACCAACCTTTGGGAAGGACCTACTTATCCAGAGCACCTGAATGGAACAACCTGGAAGAAACAGTGATGTAATAATGACACAGCACCTTCAACTTCTTTTATAGGTGTGTGTACTTGAACATGCATGGGTGGATACATAAGTTATAGGGCATTGAACTGCACTGACATCTGCCCAAATAAGGATATGGTTAAACTCTCAAAACATTTAATTTTCTCAGATTTTTTTGGTTTAGACTCTTTGGGTTTGATTTGACAAGAATACATCAAAGATTATAATAACAGTCCTTTATTTGAATCCTGTATGTCTACAGCCCCTTACTCTCACAGTGTTACATATTTTTACAGTGTCAATTATTAGAAGCTCTATGTGTTTTTTTAATTAACTAAAGGCAGACTCAAAGCCTTTCCCTGAAACAATATCTCAATGGTAATGAACTTTACTGCACATACAGAATGTATGCCCTTTTCACCACCAATGCAGGACTAAAAACAGGAAATCAAAAGTGCTTATGTCATGGTTATATCTCAAAATTGCCTCATCACTTTACAATCCTAGTCCACAAATACTGCAGTTAACCAGTTAATCCCACACAAATCTGGTGTAGCTAAATCCTTGCATTGGCTGTCTTACTTTGTCCGGTAAGGCAAATCTATTTAAAAAAGTTGAAATACCAAAATGATCCTGTGTATGTGTCAACCTTTTTGCTTATAAATTGTGCTTAAAAAAAAAAAAACCTTGACCTGACTTGTGTCGCACAAGCACACCTCTTCAAAGACCCACATACAATATAATAAAATAATAAAACTTTGCATGCAAATTATTTTTAATAAATGATCATGGCTCAGTGTAGCTTACACTTCATCTCTTTAATTTAAAAATAAACAAAAAAATGAAAATACATGAGCAGTCAGGGAATACATCACTTCCAGGAAAGCTCAGGCTGACATTGTTTTTCCTAACTTCTATTTTTATTTTTTACAAAATAGTTTATTGCTGTCACATTGCAACCCATTTACCCTTCATGACTCCAACATTTTCCCATCAAAATCCACTTCTTTGCTCTGATAGTGTTTATGAAGAACCAACAACACACCACACAAGACATCTGAGTGCTGTACATGAGACGCATGTAGAGCAATGCAGCTTTACTGTGCGTTGTGTTGAACAAATTAATCACAAGCACCTACTCCTGGTAGGAGATGCCAACACTTATTCCAGTTCTAGCCCAATATTCTGTTCAAGTATCTAAGAATCACAGTAGCTATTATAGTTGTCATTAGAAGGACGGTCACAAAATCCTACATTATTGATGACAGTGCTGCATACAAACAACACACTATTATAATGTTATGATGCTGAGTGAAAAAGACAATCGTGTCATCGATTAATCTAAAAAACAGCAGTAATTTTCCATTTTTATACCTTTCATTCGACTCCTAAATTACATTATATTTGCTAATACACTTGTCCCAACTTAATTGGCCCCAAAGGTACATTTCCGTTTTGAAACGACAAGATTAGTTAGGTCTTTATTGTGAACAGAATTTGACCCTAATTATACCAATTGTTATTCTAAAACAACTGAATATAGAAATTAATGTTTGTTTTTAAATATATTTTAAGATTCCAAATTTGTAGTCCTTTCTTTTTATACATTTTTGCTCATCTGAAAAAAAGTTGACGACAATTTAGATATCAACTTAGCCACAAAAAAAGCATCTATTGGTAGAGTTAAAACCAAGATTTATGCACCAGAAAAGATAGAGAACTTTAGATATAACATGTGAACTACATTATTATGATCTAAACCTTTATATACTAACTGGTGCTGAAGACACTGAACTGGCTCTGGACTCTCGTGTTTTCCTTGTGGGTATGGTGACGACACAGCATGAAATGCCAACAGTAGATTCCGGCAATTCATCATCCTCAGTCCAATCATTGAGGTCAGGGTTGTACAACTGAATGCATTTCTTGTACTTCTTCTCGCCCTCGTTCCAGCCTCCGAGGAGATACACCTTGCTGTTCAAAACACAAATACCAGCCGTGCTCACTCCTGTGTGGAGAGGCGCGCAGTAGCTCCACTGCCCGCCGTGAGGGTTGTAAGACTCAACGGCGAGGACATCCACCCTCTCCCCACGACCTCCCAACTGACTACCACCAATGACGTAGGCCCGGTCTCCCACGGTGGCAGCGCAATGCCAGCCTCGAGGCGTGCTCAGACTGCTCTTATCCTGCCAGCTGTCGGTGGAGGGGTCGTACGAACACACAGCCCTGGAGTAAGCGTTGTTGATGTAACCACCGGATACAAGGATCTTGCCCTCGATGAGGGAGCTGCCGTGACAGCAGCGGGGCACCTCCATGGGAGCTTTCATCTGCCACTGGTTGGAGGAGGGCACGTAGCACTCCACCGAGGCCTGAACGCCATCACCATTTCGCCCTCCAATGGCAAACAGAAGGCCATTGAAGATGTTGAGGCTAAAGTGTGTGCGCTTCTGGATCATGTTGCTCAAGTGAATCCAAGTGTTGAAGCGGGGGTCATATCTAAAGATAGTTAGAGGGATTTACATGTTAATTTCTCATTCTACAATAACTGACATGACAACATTTAAAAAAAAAGTCAACTGTAACTGTTAGCTCTTACCTGCAGAAGTTACCAACAGCATGTTTAGCTTGGTTCCTTGCATCATTCTGGTCCTCGCCACCTGCCACATACAGGAAGCCGTCCAAGACTGCCACGCATTGATTGAAGCTCTTTGCTGGCATTTCTGTCAACTTATTCCACACGTTATCTTCATCTCTGTAGAGAACTTCTTTGCTGAGGGATTTCTCTGTCAAGGCAGGGCGTCCACCAACTGTGAATATCACCTTGAGGCCACCGCGCACCTTTGTTCTGCGTGACTGGAGGATGTTCTGTTGGTATGGCAGCAGATGGTAATTCATGGCATCAACAAGGAGACGGTGGCACTCGGGGTCTTGCATCATTCTGGGCGCACTCTGGACATGATTCACCAGGTCTTGGGCAGAGATGGTGCCGAAGCGGATGAGAGTAAGGAGATCCGCCGCATACTTCAACCTCTTCTCATCGAAGTCCAACCACTTCATGGCGATCTGGAAGGCTGTGATCTCAGAGGGAAGGTGCAGGGAATCGTCTGAGAGGAAATCACTGATTTGCTCGTAGGTGAGCTTCAGGAACTGCTCCATCTCAGAGAACTCAATGAAGTTCTCCCGCATGAACTTCTGGGATGCTTCCTTGGTTTCTTTGAGGTCGTAGGCATCAGCGATGTTGCCCACATACATGCAGTTCTCCACGCTGAGCTCCTGCATGAGGAAATCACTGCACATCTTCACTAAGGTGCGGATCTGCAGCATCATGGCGGCGGCGATGGTGCTGCCAATGTTGTACAGCGACAGGGTCAGCTTTCCAGAGTATGCATATGTAATCGCTGTGGCGAGGCCGGCAGGTGAGAGGTCCTTCAGGTCGATCGTCTGGAGGGTTGAATCCTTCTTCAAGATGTTTCGAATGTACTCGCTGCAGGACGCCATGACTACCTTGTGAACATCAAATGACTTTGACTTGGTGGAGATGGTTAGATCGCAGAGGAAGCTGTCCTGCCTCATGCTGCTCAAACCCTCCAGCAGGTTTGGGGCATACACAGAATCAGTAACTTCGGTTGAAATGCAGTTGAAGCCATTTCCTCCTTCCAACAGAGTGTTCAGCCCATTGATCTTGTTGACAGGGCTGTCCTCGACCATTATGGTGATTTCATTTATGTCTCCTTTATTCTTTTTGGTCGATTTGTTCTTTTTGGGTGCCATGGCAGCAGCGGAATATGGCCCAGAGCTTCTGAAAAAATAAATAAAACTTGTCAGAAAAGGGAATAATTATGCAGATAAATCATAAATACATTATTTGGTACAAGTGAAACTTGGTGGGATTTAAGGGTTCACAAGACTACGATATTAATATATTGTTATAAATGATTTTATGCTGTCTTGCAGACCTGTTGTCCTTGTCTTGTATCTAAGTATTGATTAACCCCTTCTCAACTTTATTTATTCAGACACTACCAGGACCTGACACCTTTGAAAGCACACATGCTGCCAGGTGATGCTGGAGAGAGATAGAGAGTGCGTAAACAGCCCCCTCTTTGCATCTGTCACAGTTTATCAGCTGTAGGTCCAGGAATAGCAACTCTGGACGGCTCACCCATGACGTTCCTTTTATAGACTTTGAGATCTGAGCAGCAGGCCTCATGTCCTCTGACTCTTAAAGTTCAAATTAGGGCAAACACTCTCCTTTCTTTACTTAATTTTATTTAACATTCAATTAGGCTTTTCCTGAATAAGTATGTAATGAAGACAATCTACAAGACAAAAAAGTTTCATAGAAAAAAACAATCCTCACATGATTTACTCTTAACCCTAGACAATCTGAGACATACTGTCACCATGCTATGTGTAAAACAAAAATCTCTACATCTTTATACAATATGTCAGTCCTTTGAATCCTACCTAAGTGAGGAAAGAGGTCAGTTTCTGTTCTCAAATGACTAACAAACACTGAAGCATTATCTGCAACAGATTGGTTTATCCTTTTGAAAATAG